GAGTGCAGTGGTGCAATCTCGGCTCACTGCAGCCTCCGCCTCCTGGGGCAAGCAATTCTCTGCCTCAGCATCCCGAGTAGCTGGGATTACGGGTGCCCGACACTATGCCCAGCTAATTTTTGTATTTTTTTTTAGTAGAGACAGGGTTTCACCATCTTGGCCAGGCTCGTCTTGAACTCCTGACCTCGTGATTCACCCCCCTTGGCCTCCCAAAGTGCTGGAATTATAGGCGTGAGCCACCACACCTGGCCAATATGATTCCATTTATATGAAATGTCCAGAAGGGCAAATGTATTGAGACAGAAAATAGATTACTGTTTGTCTAAGGCTGGGGTGGGTGGGAGGACTGGGACTCACAGCTCAAGGGTACCGCTTTGGATTTTTGGTTTTATGGTTTCTTTGTTTTTTGAGACGGAGTTTTGTTTTTGTTGTCCAGGCTGGAGTGCAATGCTTCGATCTCAGGTCACTGCAACCTCCGCTTCTGCGATTCCAGCAATTCTCCTGCCTCAGCCTCCTGAGTAGCTGGGATTACAGGTGTGTGCCACCACGCTTAACTAACTTGTATTTTTAGTAAGATGGGGCTTCTCCATGTTTGCCTGGGTGGTCTCAAACTCCTGGTCTCAGGTGATCCACCCACCTCGGCCTCCCAAAGTGCTGGGATTAGAGCCATGAGCCATCGTGACTGGCCGAGGTACTGGGTTTTTGTGAGAGGGTATTGAAAATATTTTAAGCTTGATCGTGGTGATAGATGCCTAACTCTGTGAACATATTACAAACCAGGAAGTGTTCACTGTAAATGGTGAATCGTATGTGAATTATATGTCAATAAAACTGTTTTTCAAAAAAGGAAAACTGTTTCTCCCTGGCGGACCCTTTGTGGAAGAGTAGGGGAAGAGAAGGCTGAGCCTGGGGCTGGGTGAGGCGGTGAGAGCGGGCGGATGGAAGCCTGAGCCGAGGTCTGGGTCTCTGGATCCAGCCATGTGCCCCTGGGCTCCTGGGTTCAGATCCAGAGACTTGGGGAGGGCCTGGCAGGGATAAGAAACCCGAGCCAGGGCCAGGTGCGGTGGCTCAAGCCTGTAATCCCAGCACTTTGGGAGGCTGAGGCAGGCAGATCACCTAACGTCTGGAGTTCAAGACCAGCGTGGCCAACATGGTGGTGAAACCCTGTCTCTACTAAAAATACAAAAGTTAGCCAAGCAAGGTGGCACACACCTGTAATCCCAGCTACTCGGGAGGCTGAGGCAGGAGAATTGCTTGAATCTTGGAGGTGGAGTTTGCAGTGAGCCAAGATGGCACCATTGCACTCCAGCCTGGATAACAAGAGCGAAACTTCCAGCAACATAGTGAAACCCTGTCTCTTATAAAAACATGGTAATTGGCCAGGTGTGGTGGTGCGCACCTGTAATCCCGGCTGCTCAGGAGGCTGAGGCAGGAGAATCGTTTGAACTCGGGAGGCAGAGATTGCCGTGAGCTGAGATTGCACTACTGCATTCCAGCCTGGGTGACAGAGTGAGACTCTGCCTCCAAAAAAAAATCTGTTGAATAAATGAACAGATGTCATTCCAACGAATGACATTGGAAAAATGCAGGGAAAAAAGTCAGCTATACGTTAGTAATAGAAGATATACTTAACATAGGAAGAGATAAGCAAAGAGAAGGGAAAGTAGAAAGAGCAGTATTAATATCAGACAAGGCGGAACTAAAAGCATCAAACTTGACTAAGAGAGACATTAAGTACATAAATGGCAACATTTACAAAGAAGGTAGAAGAGTCATAACCAAAAATGCACGAAACAACATAGCAGCTAAATTCAGAAAGCGGAATCTATTAGAAATACAATGAAATAGAAGAGAGTCTGACTAGTCTAGCAGACAGAAGAAAGCAAGAGCATAGCGGATTTAAATAATTTGATAAAATGGCCAGGCGTGATGGCTCATGCCTGTAATCCCAGCACTTTGGGAGGTTAAGGCAGGCAGATTGTTTGAGGTCAGGAGTTTGAGACCAGCCTGGCCAACATGGCAAAACCCTGTCTCTACTAAAAATACAAACATTAGCCAGGCATAGTGGCGCATGCCTGTAGTCCCAGCCACTGGAGAGGCTGAGGCAGGAGAATTGCTTGAACTAGGAGGCAGGGTTGCAGTGAGCCGAGATCATGCCATTGCACTCCAGCCTGGGCAACAAGAACGAAACTTTGTCTCAAAAATAAATAAATAATATAATAAAATTAATAGACAATAACTGAACCAACCTATCGATTAATGAATTTATGAATTGTGAGAATATACAAGCAGGCATTAAAAAATGGTCTGCACATGAATAAATAAATACATGAATTAGTGAATGCATTAAAAAACAAACAAAATCATGAGTGAATGCATGAGTGAATATGCAGTGATACAAGCAAGCCCAGAAACAACGGAAGAAATGAATGGAGAGAGCAAAATAAAATGAATTCCTACAGACAGGCAGGAAGGGAGGGAAGAGGGAAGAAGGAAGGAAATCTCTGTGTGCAGCAGCTCAGGTGCAGCTCCCAGAAGCGCCCCGCTTGCTGCCCCCCAGTGCAGCTCACCCGGCTGAAGAACTGCAGGAAGGTGTTGGAAAGTAGCAGGTGCTTCTCCGCCAGGAAGCGGTAGCGCCGCTTTTCTTCCAGTTCAGCTGCCCGCTGACTCTCAGACACGAAGGCCTGCATCTGGGCGTGCAGCCGGTTCACACTCTCCTGGGGGGAATGGGAGTTCTGGCTGGGGGCAGTGGGTGAGTGTCTCATCCTCCCTCTCCCCACAGGCACCTGCTGTTCAAGCCTCCTGTCCTTCCTAACTGCCCCCTCCCCAAGTCTACCCCCCATCACCCAGCCCATCCTAGCTCCTGAGCCTGCCCCGTCATGGGCATCCTTGTCCTTATGAGTCTGGGCCCTGTGTCCTCCCTGCCTGGGTGCTTGTCACAGGCAGGGCTGGAGGTGTTTGAGGGTGTCTGAGCCATCGCTGTCCCTGGCACCCAGGACAAGCCCAGATATGGGACTGGTGGGCAGGGGGATGGAGGGGGATGGGTTTAATGAGAAAATGAATGAGTAGATTAATAGCCCCTACGTGGGGGGAAGGTTCGGAGGAGGGAGACATGAGCTTACTTAATGGAGCCAGGAGCCAGGAGAGGAGACCCGAAGGGAGGTAGAAGGTTAATCCATAGGTTTGGATCTTGGAGACAGAGGCCAGGGATGCGGCCCCAGTCTCAGGAGCGGGTAATGGCCTTAGCCGGGGTGGGATGCCTCTGCCTGGCAGGAGGGAGGGGAGGAGGGTGGGCAGCTGGTGGATGACACCTTTGTCACCATGTACAGGCGAGCAATTTTCTCGATGAATTAGGAGAAGGGGGAGGTGGGATGGGGTTGCAGGAGAGGCCGGGGGATTCTGGAGAAGGCCAGGAGCAGCGCTGAGCGTGGTCCTGGGAGCTAGTGAGCCAACCCCACCAAGGACTGGCTGCCCTCCCCAGCGACGATCCTCACAGTTGGGGTGGCGCTCGGTGGGGGAGCTCAGGGGGGCATTCGGGGTTCCCAGATCCTGGTCTCACCCCGAGGTCTGCGCACTGCCCTTCATAGCCCTCCTCCGCTTCCCGGCCCACCCTCCTTGCCCCTTCCGGCCCCGGCACCTTCATCTCCCGCACGTTCTTGTCCCTCTTGCGCTCCATGCGCCACAGCTCAGACATGCACTTCTCCAGGTTGGCCGCTCGGTGGCGGTACTCGATCTCATAGTGCTGGCGGCTGTCCTGGGGGAGGGTGGAGTGGGGAAGGAAGAATCCCCCCACATCAGAGAGCTCAAGACACCCCTTCCAGAGATCAGGGCCCCGGAAGTTTGGAGACTGGGAGCTCAGCTGGGAACCTGGATAATATGGGGCCAGTCAACACTCAGCACTGTCCTCTGTGTGCCCACCTGTCAAACGGGAGAGGTGGTCCTGCCTGCAAGGGGCTGGAGGCTGAGTAGGGAAGTCAGACTCACTTTGATGAACTGCATGTCCAGCTTGGTGTTCTTCTCCATGTGCTGCAGCAAGTCTCCATGGAATGTCTGCACCTGCATGGAGTGCAGGATGAGGGTGATCAAGGCCCCCCCTACTGTTCCCAGGCCCTAGCACCCCCTTGCACTTTCTGCTGTAAGAGACTTCCCACCATGCTCCTCGAATACAGGCACCTGCCCACCTGTCTGAGACACAGAGACAAGAGCCCCTGGTTGGAGAGTGGATGAAATGGTTGAACACTGAGGCCAGGAGCAGTGGCTTGTGCCTGTAATCCCAGCACTTTGAGAGACCAAGGTGGGTGGATCATGAGGTCAGGAGTTTGAGACCAGCCTGGCCAACATGGTGAAACCCCGTCTCTACTAAAAATACAAAAATATGCTGGGCATGGCGGTACGCGCCTGTAATCCCAGCTACTCAGGAGGCTGAGGCAGGAACATTGCTTGAACTGGGAAGATGGAGGTTGCAGTGAGCCGAGATTGCGCCACTGCACTCCAGCCTGGCGCCTGGTGAAGGAGCAAGACTCTGTCTCAAAAAAATAATAAAATAAAATAATTTTAAAAAATAAAAAATAAAGAGACAGTTAAGATTTCTGTGGATCACAATCCACATGTTCCTGAAAATCCCCACCTTCTGCAAAAATAGATACACTATATAAACAATATAACAAGGTAAACAAAATAAACAGTAGAAACAACAGGGCGTGGGCAGACCCTCAAAACGCAAGCAGCCTTGTAACCAGAGCACTCATAACGATGGTGAATGGCACCTGGAGAGACTAACTTGAACCACACCAAAAGCCACAGAATGTATTTTAAATGCACAAACTCAAAGTACAGACCTGCAGAGAACACTTGGTTACAGCAGGGCCGGCCTGCGGAGGCAACAGGGATGGGCATGATGCCGGAGGAAGCAGAGCCAAGCCAGTGGGGCTGTCACCACCCACCCTGAGAGCCCTGGGAGATGGGGAGGGCCCTTCCCAGAAGGTCTGGGCGCAGGAGCTCTCATAAGGTACCCTTCAAATACAGCCTGAAGGGCTCTTGCTGGCAGCTCAGCAGACAAGCTGGGGCTCTTTCCTTTCCTGCTAACTCTCTTTGCCCCATTCCCCTCCTCTTGCCCAGGAAAAGTCACTTAGGAACAAGCTGAGTCCCGTGCCATGCAATCCTGTTGCTTCTGCTTCCAGTCATGCATGCACGAAGGCACGTGGTGGCAATGTGTGCCTCAGCGAGACAGCCATATCATGGCTCTTCCTGTTGTGGTTTGGCTGTGATCGCCAATGAAGCAGAGGACGCGGACCCACGATGCCCCCAGCTGGTAGGTCCCAGGCATCACTGGGTTAATGGAAAGGTTGCCAAGCTCCTGAAGAAATGGGTCCATCAAGAGGTTGACAGTGGGCCAACCATAATGGCTCATGCCTGTAGTCCCTGCACTTTGGGAGGCCGAGGTGGGAGGATCACTTGAGGTCAGGAGTTCAAGACCAGCCTGGCCAACGTGGCAAAACCCTGTCTCTGCTAAAAATACAAAAATTAGCCAGGTGTGGTGGTTCATGCCTGTAATCCCAGCTACTCAGGAGGCTGAGGCAGGAGAATCGCTTGAACCCAGGAGGTGGAGGTTGCAGTGAGCCAAGATCACAGCACTGCACACCAGCCTGGGCGACAGAGTGAGACTCCATCTCAAAAAAAACCCAAAAAAACAAAAGAGGTTGACAATGGAAGCGAACTTTGAGCTCTTGCTGTGTCCATTACAGGCAGATAACAGGCTGTGAGCAGGTGGCTTCTGACAGAGGAAGTCACCAACTCCAGAGCCGGCTGAGGAATTCCCCATGGATTAGACAGAGACTGCCCTCCCCATCTCCACTCCCTGGGGCACACACTTCATTACAGGGTCCTGGGAATGCCTCAGTACAGAAGTCCAGGGAGTTGACAGCAGATCCCGTGGTTGAGACCATGCACTGCAAGCTCTATGGACAGAGGGACCCCAGTAACTCTTTTTTTTTTTTTTTTGAGACAGAGTCTTGCTCTGTTGTCAGAGCTGGAGTGGCAGTGGTGCTATCTCAGCTCACTGAAACCTCTGCCTCCTGGGTTCAAATGATTCTCACACCTCAGCCACCGGAGGAGCTGGGATTACAGATGTGCACCACCATGTCTGGTTAACTTCTGTATTTTTAGTAGGGACAGGGTTTCTCCATGTTGGCCAGGCTGGTCTTGAACTCCTGACCTCAAACTATCTGCTCACCTTGTCTTCCCAAAGTGCTGGGATTACAGGCATGAACCACTGTGCCCAGCCTCCAGTAACTCTTGGGGAATCCTTTTGCCACCTCTGCAAATGTCACTTGCTAAAAATGACAAAGCATTGCTAAGAAAAATAAATGGAGAAATACACCATATTCATGAGTCTGTAAGACTCAATATTGTTAAGATGACCATTGATTTATAGATTAATGCAACTCTATCAAAATTCCAGAAGCCTTTCTTAAAGAAATTGACAAGATGATGGATTCCATAATTTAGATTAAATGCAAAGAATCTTGAATAGGAAAAATAATTTTGAAAAAGAAAAAGTACTTAGCTTACTTGATTTCAGTACTTACTATAAAGCTACAGTCATTAACACAGTGTGATATCAACATAAGGTTAGACACACATACCAATGGAACAGAGTCCAGAAATAAACCCACACATATATGCAAAATCAAGTTTTTTTTTTGAGACAGGGTCTTGCTCTGTTGCCCAGGCAGGAGTGCAGTGGCACGATCTCAGCTCACTGCAACCTCTGCCTCCTACATTCAAGCGATTCTCCTGTCTCAGCCTCCTGAGTAGCTGGGACTACCGGCGCACACCTTCACACCCGGCTAATTTTGTATTTTTAGTAGAGACGGGGTTTCATCATGTTGATCAGGCTGGTCTTGAACTCCTAATCTCAGGTGATCCACCCACTGTGCCCAGCCCAAAATCAATTTTTGACCAAGATATCAAGTCATTTCAGTGAGTCAAGGGAAGTGTTTTTAAAATGATGTGGGAATAACTGAATACTCATCCAGGGAAAATTAAACTCTGACTCCATCTCATTTCATACACAAAAATAAATTTAAGACAAATCATAGAAAGGAATGTAAAGTCCATAAAATAGAGTTTCTAGAGGAAAACTTAGGAGAATATATTTGCCATGGGGCAGGAAAAGATTGCTTGGATAGGACACAAGCGCAAACCACTGCAAAAAATAAAAGCATAAAAATTGCAAAACTGGGCTTCATAAACATTTATGTATTTGTTTATTTATATCTTTAGGGACAGGGTCTTGCTCTGTCACCCACGATGGAGTACAGTGGTGCGATCAGAGCTTGAACATAAGCCTTGAACTCCTACGCTCAGGTGATCCTCCCACCTCAGTCTCCCAAGGAGCTGAGACTATAGGTGTGCAGTGCCATTTCTGGCTATAAAAATTTATAATTTGGCCGGGCATGGTGGCTCACGCCTTTACAGGTGGGAGGCTAAGGCGGGTGGATTGCCTGAGGTCAGGAGTTAGAGACCAGCCTGGCCAACACGGTGAAACACCACCTCTACTAAAAATACAATAACTTAGCTAGGCGTGGTCATGGGCGCCATAATCCCAGCTATTTAGGAGGCTGAGGCAGGGCAAATCACTTGAACCCAGGAGGTGGTGGTTGCAGTGAGCTGAGATCATGCCATTGCACTCCAGCCTGGGCAACAGAGCAAGACTCTGTCTCAAAAAAAATTATAATTCATGTTCATTAAAGACACAGTATTAAGAAAATGAATAGGCAAGCTACAGATTGGAAAAAAAATTTCCCATACATCTACTGACAAAAGACTCATATCTTGACTGTACAAATAATTCAACAATAAGTATACTCCAATAAAAAATGAGTAAAAGGCTAAACCAACATCTTTTTTTTTAAGAAATTAGAGTTTTTATCAATACACAAATAATTTTACTTAAAACCAACCCAGTTATGTATTTTAAAAAACTTCAGAACCTCTCCGCACCAGTGTCCACAACCTAGAATAGGTTCATGTGAAACCTACAATCCTACCCAGGAGCATCAGTCAGTGATGGGCCAGGTACTCACTGGTACACATTTCTTGACACTGAGATGGTTGCAAACAAAACATCTTTCTTGCCTGGCTGAAGTAAGAGTTCACGTAAAAGAGCTTTATAAAATGTCTATGAAGGAGAACTGGTAATATCAGAAAAGCTCCAGCACTTCAATTGAATATAATCCTCTATTATTCTTTCCTTGATTTAATTTCTGTAGCTCCCGAAAACTTACTTCAATCTGGTTAAGCTCGGAATAAACAGATATCTGAGATTTCACAAGCTTGTAAAGATTTATCAGCAGCCTTTTTGCTTCTGGCATCATTACCACAACAGTAAAATTTGCATCCAGAAGTAGGCATATCCAATCCATAATTGAAGGTTTGCAACAGCAAAAAATGGTAAACAACAGAAATGCCCACCAGTAAAGGATTCGCAGATACGTGAATATATATCTGGTTCAAGGTAGGAGGGTGTATTCCAGGAAGAGTCACAGTAGCATTTTCGCTACACTAAACCAGCATCTTAAGGAAGAAGCTGTACAAATGTCCAGCAAGCACATTAAAAGTCATTAGTCATCAGGGACATCTAAACAAAGCCACAGTGAGACACCACTCCATACCCACGAGAATGACTAAAATAAAAAAGACTGATGACGCTGAACAATGGCAAGAATTTAGAACAACAGCAATTTTCATTCATTGCTGGCGGGAATGCAGAATAGCACAAGAATGTTGGAGAACTCTAATAAACATATGTCAACCCCGTGCCCTGCAAATTCCACTCCTAGATATTTGCCCAACAGAAGTGAAAACATATATCCATAAAAAGACTTGTACAAGAATGTTCATAGCAGCCTTATTCATAATAGTTCCATAATGGTCTTCAACTGGAAATGACCCAAATGACTATCAACAGAAGAATGGACAGACACATTGTGGGATATTCATACAATGGAATACTAAGAAATAAAACAGAAAAAAAGTGTTGATACATACATGATATGGATTGGATCTGTGCCCCCTCCAATCTCATGTGGAAATGTAATCCCCAGTGTAGGAGGTGGAGCCTGGTGGGAGGTGTTTGGGTCATGGGGGCGGATCCCTCATGAATGGCTTGGCGGCTTCCCTGTAGTAATGAGTTAATGCAATATCTGGCTGTTTAAAAAGAGCCTGGCATCCGGGTGCAATAGCACATGCCTGTAATCTCAGCACTTTGGGAGGCCAAGGCAGGTGGATCGCCTGAGGTCAGGAGTTCGAGACCAGCCTGGCCAATGTGATGAAACCGTGTCTCTACTAAAAGTACAAAAAATTAGCCAGGTATGGTGGTGGGTGCCTGTAATCTCAGCTACTTGGGAGGCTGAGGCAGGAGAATTGCTTGAACCTGGAAGATAGATGTTGCAGTGAGCCAAGATCATGCCACTGCACTCCAGCCTGGGCAACGAGAGCAAAATTCCGTCTCAAAAAATCAATCAATCAACCAATCAAAAGAGCTTTCTTCTCTCCTGCCATGTGATGCACCTGGTATCCCCCCTTCACCTTCTGCCATGATCGTAAGCTTCCTGAGGCCCTCATGGGAAGCTGAGCAGATGTTGGTGCCATGCTTGTACAGCCTGCAGAGCTAGGAGCCAAAATCTACCTCTTTTCCTTATAAATTACCCAGTCTCAGGTATTCCTTGATAGTGACACAGATTCATACAATGTAACAACATGAATTAATCTTATAGTCTATGCTGAGTGCAAGAAGCTAGACACAAAAGAATGTATAGTGTACAATTCAAGTCAAATGAAGATATAAGAGATGTAAGTCAGAAAGGGTTTGCCCCTAGGGTGCAAGATTGACAAAAGGAATTTAAGAGAACTTTCTGGGTTGATGGAAACGTTCTAAATAAATCCTCTTTAACACAGTGGCCACATAGGGCACACAACTGTCAATATCTGTTGAGCTTAACACTTAAGATATTTAAGAACTTTATTTTGGCTGAGCGCGGTGGCTCATGCCTGTAATCCCAGCACTTTGGGAGGCTGAGGTGGGCGGATCATGACGTCAAGAGACTGAAACCATCCTGGCTAACATGGTGAAATCCCATCTCTACTAAAAATACAAAAATTAGCCAGGCATGGTAGCAGGCACCTGTAGTCCCAGCTACTCGGGAGGCTGAGGCAGGAGAATTGCTTGAATCTGGGAGGCAGAGGTTACAGTGAGCTGAGATCGCACCACGGCACTCCAGCCTGGGTGACAGATTGAGACTCCATCTCAAAAAAAAAAAAAGATTGTTCCCTATGCCCAACTGATCAGTATTTTATGGTGTCCCCCTGCAAAGTGCACCCTGACTTCCAGCAGTTCCCCTTCACACGCTGGAGGGAAAACAATTAGTTGAAATTTCCTTCCCAAGCTTCTGAGACGCCTCGCCACCAGACCCCACCCACCTCTCCCACTCAGCCCCTGCGCCCAAGCCCTGGCTCCTGTCTGCCCGCTGCCCACTGCCCGCTGCCAGGCTCCCTTGGAAAGCCCTCTCTTCTCTCCATCTAGCCAAGCCCACTCCCTCAGCTCTTTTCTTTCCCGCTGCAGTCACTGAAGCCCTGCTGGCGCCAGGCCCTCGAGCTATGGAGAGGAGGCCTTTGTAGATCTCCCAGTCTCGGGAGGGATAGCGGCAGGCGAGTTAACTTCTAGTTATCATAGCTAAGATACCCAGGGGCCTTGCGGGGACCAGGGCAGACAGTTTGTGCTTATTAATCCACTTCATTTTCTCAAGAGTCCTGGGAGGAAGTAATTATGATTATCTCCGATTCTCAGACAGGTAAACAGACGCACAGAGTCCAAGGTCACAAAACTAGTCACTGGTGAAGCTGAGCTTTGAACCCACCACGAGCTAAGGACAGATAGAAGGACCTGTTGGAGTCCAGGGGGAGGGGAGACTGAACCTGCCCCAGGGGGTCAGAGGAGGCTTCGGGGAGGAGGGGACAGCTGCATTGTTCAGCAGTGGGAGGGACAGGTGGCTCTAGGCTTAAAGGACAGCAGGGCAGCAGCTCCACAGTGAGGACACCAGCAGAGGGCCCACTCTTCGGGGGGGTTGGGCTGTGTTGGCGGTGTCGGGAGAAGCTGCTGGATCGGCAGGGCCTAGGACCCCTCACTGAGGAGCCTGTGTTCGGTTCTCTGGGCAGTGGGGACGTGGAAGGGTTCTGCTCATAGGCATGACATGGTCAGGTCCGCGTGGCTGCTCCCTGGGAGGCTGCAGGGAGGAGGGCAGGGCTGTGGGGCAGGGAGGGGGCAGCAGTCCTTTCTTTTCCTTGTGCCTCCACTCACTCTGGCATCTCAGGCAATGACTACCGTTTTTTTTTTTTTTTTTTTTTTAGGTTGTGGCTTTTTTCTGTTGCCCCGGCTGGCGTACAATGGTGCGATCTCGGCTCACTGCAACCTCCAACTCCCTGGTTCAAGCGATTCTCCTGCCTCAGCCTCCCGAGTAGCTTGCACGAGCCACCATGTCCAGCTAATTTTTGTATTTTTAGTAGAGATGGGGTTTCACCGTATTGGCCAGGATGGTCTCGATCTCCTGACCTCAGGTGATCTGCCCACCTCAGCCTCCCAAAGTGCTGGGATTCTAGGCCACCTTGCCTGGACAATGACTGGCTTTTTGAGACTCCATTTCTTCCTCTGTAAAATCGAGGCAGAAATGCCACCAGCCTCCTAGGGCTGCTAGAAGCTTGAATGACTATTGCAGGGAACTGTGCCCCACAAAGCCAGGTGCTGGGAAGGGCAGCCACTGCTGTGGCTAAGGTACAGCTGGGGCAGGTCATCCTCCCTGGGACGGGCATCTGGCAGGCTGGGCCCTCTCCTTGGAACCCAGCCTGATTCCAGATCCTGGGGTCTGATACTCACCACCACCTCCAGGTCGGAGTTCAAGTGTCGCTGGGTGTCAGACATCTGCACCAAGATCTCCCCTGGAGGCATGGATGGAGCTGTGGCTAAGGTGTCGGGGAGCCGCCCTGCCCGCCCACCCGCCACCTCTTCCGCTGGAAGCCAACAGAGGGCCTGCCCGAGGCTCGGTTTCGGGACCAAAGTCCAGGAACCTCCCATATGGCTCTCTGGGAGCCAGGCCATGTGTGTCCCAGCCCAGGGGCAACCTGGCAGGGAGTGCTGGGGGGAAGCCTGGACCCCAGAGTCTGGCTCTGGGCCTTGGGCTGCAAGGCCTGTGTCAGGGATGCAGGACATCCTGGAAGGGCAAGTGTGCCAAAGGAGGGCCCGAGAATGGGGTCTGCCATGGAGGAGGAGCCTCACCCAGAATCTGGGAGGTGGGACTCTGCAGGGCACGCTCCCCAATCTTCTGGATGGCACTGAAGTAGACCTCGGCCGCCTCAGACAGGGCTGTGGACCAGAAGGGATGGGTCCAGTCCAACCCTGCATCCGCCCCACCCTCATGGAGGCTGCTTCCATCTGGAGGGGACCGTGTCTGTCGTGGGTGGGGTGTGGGCATCTGTGTGTGCCCCTGATGGTGTGGCCAGTTGTGCTGTGGAACTCAGGTGCAGGGGCATAGGGTGAGGGCTGGGGCAGGGAGGTGGCGTGGAGGACATCTAAGAAGCAGGGGGATGGGTGGCCCTGAGCTTCAGGGTTGATCAGCGCTGGTGGGTAGGGGGCTGCTATTGGCAGGTATGGGTGGCCACAGTGGACGGGTACAAGGGTTTGCATGGGGGTCGAGGCAGTGTCAAGGCCAGCTGCACGGTGTGTGGATGGTGGCCGGTCAGAGTGAGGAAGCCAGCTGCCGTGTGAGCCTGGGTGTAGAGGTGGGACTGGGTATAGGGGGTGGGTTCAGTAGGTGGAATCAAGGTGACACCTAGAAATGTATGCATCGTCAGGAGATGCACTGGGGTATGTGGGGCTGCAGCGTCTGATATTGTATCGTGAGAGTGTCTGGGGGCATCTGAAGGAGGGGGCAGTGAGGGGTGCTGGGTGTGGACAGGGATGCGTGGGCACAAGAGAGTGGGGGTGCATAAGGCCTCTCTGGCTGCAGGGGCGTGAGGGTGGGGGTGGTGGGTAGGAGGGTGTAGGGCTGAGTATGAACAGGTGTGGGGTGCAGAGACTCTGGGTTGGGGGTACAGATGGCCCGGGGGGTGTGGAGACAGCAGAGGCTAAGGGCTGGTGCTGGGTGGCCTGGGCAGGCACTCACCATGGAAGGCACGCAGGTAGTTGTTGCCCAGGTACACCAGGTTCTCCAGGGCGGGGTTAAACTGCTCCATGATGCTCTGGAAGCCGGGGGCCAGGACGGAAAAGTGTGGAGATGGGGGAGGGAGAAGAAACCATGGACAGAGCCAAGTCACCGGGCATCAGGGACAGGGCACCTGCCCCAGTGAGAAGCCCCCAGACTTTGGGGAGCCCATCTACAAACCTAGGCTCATCCAGAATCCTGGCTCTGGCTATAGGGGCCTCAGATCCCATTTTTGGGGTCCTGTTTCAAGCTATGGTCCCCTCGCAGCCAGCTCCTGCTCACACCTGCTCTGGTGGGACCGAGGTGCCTCCTGAGATAATGCACTAAGAAGGTTCTCCTCCTCCCCCTGGGCTGAAGCAGGCCCACCAGCTGTGGTCCCCACTGAGCACGGCTCAGACCTGCCCTGGGTCCAGGCTTTGCTGAGCCAGACACATGGGGCTGCCAACAGTTGCCCCAGCGGCAAGGGCAGCTCTCGCCCTCCTCCAAGAAAACCCCACCACGGGCAAGACTGTGGCTGGATGAGTGTGGGCCACCCCGGGCGGGGGCCAGGTGGAAGGCTCCCTGGGTGGTGGAGACCGGCCTAGACTTAGGCTTGGACTTGGACTTGGGTCTTGGTTCAAATCGCAGCAGCGACTCTTCCTCCCTTCATGACCTTGAATGAGCTGTTTAACCTCGTTGGTCTCAGTTTTCTCATCTATCAAACAGGGTGATCATTTTCTACTTCACAGGTGGGTGGTGTGAGGCTTACAGGTGCACACAGGAGGTGCTCAGCAAGTATCTGTGGAGACCAGCAACCCCCCGGGGTGAAGCCGGAAGTCTGAGTGAGGGGCTCAGAAACGAGAGAGAGAGAGAGGGTCTTTATTCCCAGGCTGGGCAGCCAGGCCCTTCTCATCGGGACTCTCAATAATCCCCACCACGGGTTCCTGGGCCCCCTCCTGCCTTGTCCAGCACCTGGGAGTTGGGAGTTCCTGCTGAGTGTGTGGCTGAGTGCTCTTAGGGATCCTCACCCCCGTACCCACCTCTGGCCCAGCCTGGTTCCAGGCTTCCCTTCCAAGGACACCTGCAGCCCCAGCTGGCCCTCCGTCCCGCAGAGCAGGCCTGACTTCTGCGCCCTAGGAGGGGGGGCTGGGGCCCTGGCTCAGCTGCCATGTGCTCACCTTGTAGATGGCCATGGTGGACCTGTAGAACTGGTCCATCTCGGGGGGCATGGGACGGCTGTCGCCGGGGTCTGAGCAGGAGGCTGGGAGCTGGTGGCGATGGCCCGGCTGGGAGCAGTGGTGGGTGGTCTCTCAGGGGCCCACGGCTTGGCCGGCAATGAGGAAGCTGCAGAGTGGGACCTGGAGATGGAGGCCTGCCTCAGAGGAGGTGGCAGCTTAATTATTCACCAGCTGGGGATGTCAGAATGCGATCTGGGGCGTAACCGGACCCGGCGGGGAAGGCATCCTGTGACGGGCGGGCTCGTGTGACCTGCCCTTCAATTATTCACCCTGAGGAGCCATGGGCTGGTACAAGTGCCCATGTGGATGAGCCCTCCCCTTCCTGAGTCACCCCCTTCTTAAGGACACTGACCCTGGGGGCCCCGCCCTCCCACCTGCCTATACCAGGCATTGCCCACCTTACTGGGTTGGTGCTGCCTGATGCCCTCCCCCAGGACCCTCCCTGCCAGACCCACAGAAGCAGCCCTGGAGGGGAACAGAGCTCTGCTCCTCACTGTCCTCAGGCCTGCAGCTCACGGCGGGGCCACGCCCTCTGTGGCTCCCACAGCCACTCTGGCCCACCCAGCTCCTCCACTTGCTGGAGCTGGAGTCCCACAAACCCTGAAGTCGCCCAGCCCTGGGCTGACCTTGGCCCTGCACACGCGCCGCCTGTCTGTGCGGAGTCCCTGGCCTCTCTGGGTGGCAAATGGGGCTTGCCCTCGTCTGCGAAGATGAGGTTGAGGATTGTGGTCCCCTCGGGCCTGCCTGGGGTATGCGGACCTGTCAGCTGCCTCTGAACACCCTAAGGGCCAGTTTAGGGGAGGCCTAGAGGAAAGAGGAAGTGTCCCTGCCCAGGGGTCCTGGAAAACAAGAGTGTCTGGGTATACAAAGGAAAAGGCTCGTCAAGGCTGAGAGGAGCTGGGGAACTCACACCGCTGCACAGACAACACAGGTGAACTTGAATCCAAATGGTTTATTTCACAGTTTTGGCTCTTAAGCCACTTCCATTGGGAAGAATAAACTCCCCGGAGTGACCTTTGAGAGCTGAGCGTTCTTGGGGTTGGGCAGCTGAGGGGCAAAGTCCAACGGGCATCCCATTCCTGCAGCCTGGGCTTTCCTGGCTGATGGGGTGGGGGACACCCCGTTTCTCTAGCTCCAGACTCCTGGGAACAGGGCAGAGGGCAGAAGGAGTGGGTTGCACCCACCAGGAAGCCTGGGGGTGCCCTTGCTGGAGGCTGGGGCAGGGTATGGTTGTGCCCGGGTACCCTTGGTGTTTGAGCTGATGGGGGAGTCAGCTGTCCTTTACAGTCGGGGGGGGTGGTTCTAGACTTTCCCAGCCTGAAATGACAGAAGTGCTGGAACAGGGGGTTGGGGGAGAGTGGCCTCCAGGACCAGCCTCAGGCAGGCAGCTTGGGACCCTCCCAGGCCCAGTCTATGGACGCAGAGCTGCCTGGGCCCGGATCTGCCCAGGAGGGCAGTGGCTGGGCCTGGCCTGGGCTCCCCAGCAGGGGCTGAGTGGATGAGGTCAGCTGGGCTGGTGCGAGGCTGGAGGCCCTCAGGGTGACAGCAGCAGCTGGATAAGCTTCTGGAACTCCTCCCGGTGCTCATAGATGTAGACCTCGGTCTCCCAGAGGGCGTTGACCAGCACTGTGTCGCTGACTTCATCCAGCATGATGTCCGTCCCCAGCTGGGGGTTCAATCTGTCCGGGCCAAGGAGGAGGGGGTCACCCTAGGATGCTCAGGCTGGGCAGGGGACAACAGCTAGGACCAGGGTGTGCTTGGGGAACAGAGCAGGCCCTCAGGGAAAGGGAGAGTCCACACCAGAGCTGAGGGGAAGGACAGTGAGTCTGACCAGGCCAGGGCGACGGGCTGAGGGGGGCCGGGGGCGGGGGCTGAGGGATGGGGGTGGACTGAGCCCTCACCTGAAGTACTGGATGCCGACCATCTCACACCAGGCCCGGGCACGGTCTACAGCCCGCCCATCTGGATCTGTGCACTGGCGAGAAGCAGGCTTGGTGAGCACCCGGCTCACACCTGTCCAGCCCTGCCATGCACTCCCGGAGCCCCCGCCTGGGGACCCCCAGGCTCTTTGAATCAGCCTGAACCACATAGCAGCAGAGTGGCTGGGACAAGACCTCTTTCTGGGACTGCAGAGACAGTCCCAGCTCTGCAATCACAGGGGCAGGGGACTCAGCAGAGCCCCTTCAGGGGTGATGAGTTGGGGAAAGGGTAGCAGCTGAGTGGACAGGTCTCCATGTCCCCTCTCCCTGAAGTTAGTTTCATTCTTTTTTTTCTCTTTCTTTCCTTCTTCTTTTTTTTTTTTTTTTTTGAGACAAGATCTCCCTCTGTTGCCAGGCTGGAGTGCAGTGGCGCAATCACAGCTCACTGCAGCCTCTGCCTCTTGGGCGTAAGCAGTCTTCCCCCTCAGCCTCCTGAGTAGCTGGGACCACAGGCACACACCACCATGCCCGGCTAAGTTTTCATTTTTTTGTGGAGATGAAGTCTCACTATATTGCTCAGGCTGGTCTCCAACTCCTGGGCTCAAGTGATCTGCCCACCACAGCCAAAGCGCTGGGATTACAGGGGCAAGCCACCTGGGCGGGCCACTCTGGAGCTTTTGTCCACTCTGGGCTTCTACACAGTGCTATGTTTGCAGAAAGGCATCCACAGCTGCAAAGTGTTTGAAAATGCCCCTGCTGGTGGTCTTTGAGGGACCCTGCCTCGCACTGAGACTCTGAACTGGGGACTCTCTCTCCAGCTGGCTAAAGCCCTATTGTCTCCCCTGACACCAAGGGCCCCACAGGACGAGGGGGAAGCCATCAACCTCGGCTGCAGACCCTGAGGGAAGTGGCCCACACTCACACAGTCCACCACCATCTTGCCCAGTTCCTTGGCCCCAAAAACAGTCTTGGCCAGTTCCCAGGGGTTGCTGGGGCGGAAGACATCCACACAGGTCACAGGCACCTGTGGGGACCTCCCTGTCCCCAGGGAGACAACGATGGAGAGTTTCTTCACCTTGTTGGCCTGACCCTGTTGGGGAGAGGACAGAGGCAGTCAGAGGGGATCTTCCACAGGCAGGGGACGTGCAGGGGAGTGTCAAGGGGAGGCCCAAGGCTGGGCTCTGAGGCACATGAGGGCAGGGCAAGAGGCCTCTGGTGGCAAGAGCACATGTGGCATGATTTCCAACCAGCCCCTTGCAGGCCCCCCAGAAGGGCTGGTGCAGGCGGCACGTGCCATCTGCTTGGGACAGCACCTGTGTAGCAACAGGACCACACATACACCAGCTGTGAAAAGGATCCCGCCCACCCCATCTGATGCTGGCCCAAGTCAAGTCGAGGATAGGGGAGGAAAGGCAGAGAGTGTGATTCGCCAGGTGTTTGCATCATGACTTCATTTAATCTCTTGTCAGTCTGTGGAGTGGGCACTGATCACCCAGTTTGCAAATGAGGACTCTCAGCGAAGCTCAGGCCCAGAAGCAGCTGCCCAGGCCACGTGGTAGGGAAGTAGGGGCTAAGGCTTGAACCCGGGCCCTGGGTGCTGCCTCTCTTATTTGTTTCAGAACAAGCTCTGCAGCTGTTCTGATTTGCTGGATGATCTTGAGTGATGCCTCCCACTCTGGCTCCGAGGCTCCCCATCCGCATGCAACAGGAGAGTTAGGCTGGCCGGTGTCTGACAGTCTGCCACCTGCAGGAAGCCTGCCCTGCCTGCTCTGGCCCCTAGAGGGCGCTCCCCTCCCTGTCCATCCAGAGCCTCTGCTTCGCCCGCACAGCAGCAAGGATGGAGCTCAAGGTCCAGGCACTGCTGTGACCATTTCACAGACAACAGCATGCCAAGGCCTCCCAGCCTCCTCAGGGAGGCACCATGATGGCCCCATTCAGTAGCTGCAGTGAAGCATGGGCAGAACTGGGACCCCCCCCTCCGAGGCGCTCTGGCTCCAGGGCTGGAGCTCAGCCACCGAGCTCGCTCCCCCACTGCTTTCAGCTGCACCTCCGCAGGGCGAGGGCGACTACTCTTCCTCCAGATCACTGACTCTGCACTGCCCTGTCCCCAAAGTCCTCAGGATGGGTCCCCTGTTCCAAGGAGCCCTTTCCGAGCCCCCAGATCTTTTAGCAGAGGCATCACGGTCCTCCACCACGGCACCAGCAACCAGTGTGGGCGCACGCTCCTATTGCACTGTTTCTCCACAGAGGTGAGCTCAAGGGCAAGCAGGTGTCCTATCCCCAGGCTGACCAGAGTGGCCCGTTCATGGTATGCGTGCCGCCCTCCCCACTCATGCACCCTTAGAGCACAGTGGGCCTCAGACCCCGTCTTAGCACAGTGCTTCAGGCAGACCCCACCCACAGCACAGGTTCCAGTGACATCAAGTTGCCCTGCGTGCACATAGGAATGAGTGCGTGTGTAAAAACCACCTGCCGTCCTGGGGGTCGGTCCCTAGCATGGTTTGCTGGAACAGGGTTGGCTCTCGGGAGCAGTGGGTCCAGGCCCTCTGGCCTGAGGCACTCACCTTTCGGATCAGGTCCTGATTGTACTCATGGATCTCGGTCATGGCGTCCAGCGTGGGGTTGTTGGCCAGCAGCCCGCCATCCAGGAAGCGTCCATTGGGTCGGAAGTAAGTGGGGGCTGCCCCGCTGCTTCGGGCTGCCCGCCACACCAGTTGGTCTGGGGGCAGGAAGGGAGGGCGCCCCAGGGGCATAAGGGACTGGTATAAAACCCATGCACTCAGATCTCAAGGTGTGGACCCACCAGGCCACACTGTCTGGCCAATTCATCCTGGTGGAAGGCAGGTCCAGCTAAGGACTTGCCAGGGACGTTTGTAACCTGCTGGGGACCTGACAGCTCCCCCGCCACCAGCCCCCGCAATCCCTGTCCTCAGCCAATAAAGACCAGCACAGTGGGTGGGTCAGTGGCAAGGGCAGGACTCCCACCCGGCACTCCGCAGCCTCTCAGGCTAGTTGCTCCCCATGGATGCATCAAACACAGTTTAAACCTGAGGGCTGAGTTGGAGGCCTGAGGTTAACGTTCTGGTTGAAACGAGGCTCCCGGACAGTTTCTGGAGCATCGTAGTTCCGGAAGAGGTGGAGTTCAGCTGGCTGCCGGTCAGACAGTGTCCCTGTCAGCATCACCCTGGAGAGAAACGAGGCGGGAGGACCACGGAGCCACCCGTCCACCCACCTTTCCCCTTCCCCGACATTCTCAGCCCAGGCCTTGGGTAGCAGAGTGCCTGCTCCAACCTCTGTTCAGGATGGGTGGGCTTCTCCCCCCACCAGGCCCCCAAAACAGGCTCTCTTCTTCCCACCAAGCAAACTCCAGGCCTAGAAGAATTTACTATCAAGG